CACGGTATATTAGGCCCCTATTTCATTGAGGATGATGAAGGCAATGCTCTTACCGTCACCCAAGAAGGCTACAAGGACATGGTGATCGGACCATTTCTTCAGGATTTGAGAAGGTTCTGTCGTGCAAGGGGCCTTCACATGAACAGACAGTGGTATCAATAGGACGTTTTTTCATTTCAGTACTGTAATTTTGGCGCATACTGTACAAAAGGCAGACCCGTCCTCTCGTCAGAGAGAGCGCCTCGCAAAAACAAGACCGTAACTGTTAAACAGTAATAAATATCTGGGCACGCCAAGACTAAATGACTGACTGACCGTCAGTCGCAATGTGACTTTGACTTTAAATTTAGTTAGTTCGTGAGACAGTCGCCGGCCAGTATGGGCCTGAACACGGAAGCTGAGGAAGCTACGGCGTTGGAAGCCGTTACCGGGAGACAACGGGTGAAGATACAGCAGACTAAGAAAAATTAGTACGCGCTGTAACGATAGCGCTATAGTTACTTGTAGTTACGGATCTGTAAGTGTTGAATAAATGCCTGTCACGGCAGGCGAGCGGTCTAAGGCGTGCACTGTCTTAGCTCGCTCGGAAGTCGGGACCGTGGGTTCGGATGTTTCCTGTGAGGTACGAACTGAATTCTTATACACTGCCGGTCACGGTAGCCGAGCGGTCTAAGGCATGCACTGTCTTAGCTCGCTCGGAAGTCGGGATCGTGGGTTCAAATCGCAGTCAGGGCATGGATGTTTAGTGTTTGGGTGTGCGCGTTTTTCTGTGATTGTGTGCAGGTAGAGGCTTTCCGACGAGCTGATCACCCTTCCAAAGAGTCCTACCGAATTTCTAAGATCTAGTAAGCCGAAGTGAAACGGAGAGTAAACTATCCCTGCTTTTGAATGGAGATACTGAAAAAAATCACACAAAAATCCTCAATCAGTACAGGCAGTGCCTCAGTCGAGACTCGAACTGAGCAGCTTCACATGAGTTAAGATCGTTACTGCTGTGCCAAGCTGCCCGGCCATGCTCCTACTCTCTTGCGCTCAGCTGTATCAAATCTACGAGTACAGCCTACAGGAATCTGCTATCCTGCGAGGAGCCGGCACCGCTATTAACACGAAATATGTTAACGGTTTTAATAGCCTTCACGTAAAGTGATAACCGCAGAGGGAATTATTCCGGCATATGTTGGCAGCAGCTCGCTATATCGTAGCTCTTGTGTTTCAAGCCCTCATTAATTATTGATCTCTATCTTGCGCGTAACAACAGACTTTTTAAAACAAATTGCGATCTATTCGATACGCTGGAACTGATCCCTTCTGAATTTGTTGAGGCCTTGTTACAAGATCGTAAACAACAGCCACCCGTGTCCACTTCATCTGCAGTTTTGCCATGTCTGACAAAATGTCTCCGAGGTCGCCTTGTCAGCACTATCTTCGCCATCAGCTTTATGTAACCGTCCAGTTCAACCCAACATAAGCCGAGGTGTGGATGGGTAAGGACAGGTGACTCAGCTGTTTACGGTTTGGCTCTGTCTTAAGGGTCATATTTTCTCACCGCGGCAGCCCGGGTTCGATCCCGAGTCTGGTCAAGTGGGATTTGTGGTGGACAAAGTGGCCTTGGGGCAGGTTTTCTCCGAGTACTTCGGTTTCCCCTGCCAATCTTCATTCCACCAACTGCTCCACAATCACCCTCACCTATCATCTGGGGCTGGTACAATGGGTCAGAAGTGGCTGCAGTACAAGGGACTTAGTCCCACCCCACTAGCAATAAAAAAAAATAAGGGTCACATTAACGGGGAGACACCGGTCATGTACCATACGACAGGACAAAATGATTCTCTTTGATGTGTTTACTTCGCCAGTTTATATTCTTAATTTGCAGAAGCAACGAGGTGTAATGATGTGCTCCAATTCTTCCTCGCGTCTATTTATTCACTAAAGGTAAAGGTAAAGCTGTCCGTGTAACAGGCTGTGAATGCCCGTAGTGTTGTGACACGTCGAGGTTGTCAGCCTTATGCACCGGCCGCACGTTTACACCCCACCCCCAGGAAAATTCCTGGTACTTATTACTGTTAGAGGCTGGATCGACCACAGAGCCATAGTACGGCTGGAAGGATTAGATCAATAGAAAAATTCAATTACCCCATCGGGATTCGATCCCGCGACATTCCGGCTTGTACCAAAGTGTCTCAACCAACTACGCTATCGCGTGTCCCCTCAATTTAGTCACTACTCGTATTAATTTATTATTACAACTTTCTGAAGTCGCAAACACGTCCGTCAACCGGTGAACTAGCAACTAAAAGCCCCCCGAAATGACTCGTAACAGCGAGGCAAACAGTGGCGTCCGACGCTAACAGTTGGCTGGATTCGAACAGAGTTGCTCACCCCTATGTGGAATGTAGGTATTTCTGTTGGTTAAAACCGACGAAAGTCACGTCATCCTTTGTAATGCATTTCAAATTTGGAAGCCATCAGCCCCAGAACTACTCCGACCGGCTGGAATCCTCTCGACTTGACTTACGGGCGCAGAAAGTGCCTTTGGCGAACGCAACCCTCTATTTTGCCTCAATTCTTACGGTAAATTAACTCTTGATTTACGCGTCTTTAACTTTCGCGAGGCGGTTTAGGAAAGAACATACAGCGTAAATCGAGAAGTAACTGTAAGTTAGGCCGCACACCGGCATGGGTCAAGACATGTAACCGTCAAGACACGATGTCTGCGACATGACGCAAAGAAAGGAGCACAGCTGAAACGAATGAGATTACGAAAGCCGCCGCACACCGGTCTGAGACCGTCATGACAGTTAATTCGGATGGGAATATGAAAAATGCTGTTCACAGTCGAGTACATACTTTAAAATTCACATGGCATTTATGAAGCTGAGATGAGTCACTGCGTGTTGTTCAGTATCACTGTTGGCTCTGGGTCGGGCGGATGTTATCCCTTATATCGCTTGATTTGCGTACTCACTAATCCGGATTATCGGTTAATCCGGATGACGTACCCCCAAAATTACAACGGATTAGCATGGGTTTACTGTATTATATGGGCTGAACGACCGTAGAATCGGAGTTCCATTCCAGACAGAACCAGAGTTCTTTGTAAGATTTGAGGTTTTCACGGCGGTGACTACGAAGAAAGCCGTTTTGTGGGATGCGGTACCGTGTTGATATTATGTGAACTGACGGTTAGGAGGAACGTATCGCCTCCATCTTCAGGGTAGAAAAGTCCGCGAGCGAGGAACCAGTGTGAGCAGGTGGCTGCAGATTGAGCCACCATTCGAAAAAACCCATGGGAGATGGAGGCGATACTTTCGTCCGAAACGTCGGCTCACACAAGATCTACACGGCGCCTAATCCCAGAAGACTGCATTCTTCAAGAGAGCTTTGTTTTTCCGCTGTGTCTAGACTGACTCTGGGGCTACGCCAGTGAGAACTGGGGGTTACTTCTCAGGAGTAAAGCAGTCGATACCCGAGGCTGACCACTCACCTCTACCTAGCGCCAAGGGTTCGAATACGTGGAACTATAACTCCACTTCCCCATACATTTTCATGGCGTGGTCCGTCAATAACCGTTCTGCATGAAGTGGCGTCACAAGCTGTGCAATGACTCGCTTACTATACCGGATAAAGAAAAATATTCTTTCTCTTGCGGCAGACTAATTTAAAGTTTTGAAGCCAGTGGTTGCTGTATGTACCACTTGCTTTAACGTACTAAAACTCTTCATTCTGCCCACAGTGTGTAGGTATGTTTCATATGGTTCTCACAATAAACAGCGCCTGTTCCCCTAAACAGCATTAACCGGTTCGGCTTCCTAGCGGAGATGTAATGTGTTTCCTGTGAGGTACCAACTGAAATCTTATATACACGTATTATAAGGGGCAGTCAAATGAAAACGGGTCACCACGCATAACTCACACAGCATGTCACGTTCGCGTGTGCTGGCGTGGCATAAGAGATTCCGGGAGGGACATGTATCACTGCAAGATGATGCTCGCCCAGGACAGGCTCATCGTGTCATCACTCCTGATGTTATTGCTGCGTTGGATGGTCATATCTGGGCAAACCGACGAATCACTGTGGAAGAAATTAATCTTTTGATGGGAGTAAGTCACGGTTCCGTACACGCCATTGTGACAAAACATCTGCTGTACCGCAAAATCTGCGCGCAGTGGGTTCCACATCAACTCACGGAGGAACAGAAGACTCAGAGAATGGCTGCATCACTGGGTCACTTGCAACAATACCATGAGGAAGAGTATGCTTTTCTGTCCCGTATTGCCACTGGGGACGAAACTTGGTGCCACCATTTTGAATCCGAGAGCAAACGGCAGAACCAACAGTGGAAACACGTGAATTCTCCCCCACTGAAGAAATCCAAAGCCGTACACACAAGTTCCGGTAAAGTGATGATGACATTCTTCGACTGCAAGGGCCCTCTGCCTGTCGAATTTCTCGAGCTTGGGGCCACAATCAGTGCACAGCGCTATGAAGACACTTTGTGCAGAAACTGAGACGTGCCATAAAGTCAAAATGCCCTGGAATGCTATCGAACGGCATTAGCTTTCTTCATGATAACGCGCGCCCCCATACTGCCAACTCTGTGAGGAATAGGCTACAGAGATTTGGTTGGGAAGTGCTTCAACATCCCCCCTACAGCCCAGATCTCTCCCCATGTGATTTTCACATTTTTGGAGACCTGAAGAGAGACATTCGTGGACATGGGTTTGCATCGGACGAAGACATGTGTGGCTGGGTAAGGATGTGGTTCCGTAGGCAGCCCACAAGCTTTTTCAAGGATGGGACTGACCGTCTTATCTCCCAGTGGGATAAATGTATTAACAGTTTTGGAGATTACTTTTGAGGTAAGAAATTCTCTTTAATATGTTTTGGCTTCTGACACGTTTTCATTTGATTGCCCCTCATAATTAGACGAAAATCAATCTTTTAGAAGGCTTAAAAGTTTAAGAACACTAATGAAGCATGAATTATACAATAATCTCACCTAAAATGCAGTTAGTGACGACTCAGACCTGCATGTCCCGTACGGGTCACCTGCTAGCAAATCCCGGCACCAGTGAACCAGATTTTGGGACTCCATTTTCCTTGCGAGCTCTGTAACAAGCAACAGACTAAGTTTTAAAAAATCAATATCAGACTGAATTCAGAGAATGCTTACCTCCATTCTGTCCCGTCTGCCACTTGAAAACATCAAAATTAAAATATTCAGGACTATAATTTTATCTATTGTTTTGTATGGGTGTGAAACTTTGTATCTCATATTAAGGGGTTAACAGAGACTGAGGGGATTTGCCAAAAGGGTGGTGAGATAAATATCTGGACTTCAAACGGAGAAGTAGCTTCATAATATATATTTCTCTTAGGATGCTCAGATGACGACGGACGAATGGGACGAATGTAAGATGCTCGGAAAAGAATACAAAAAAGAAAAAAGGTCGGTCAACCTTAAGGAAGATGTAAGCGTAAATATGTACATTTTTTTTCTCTCTGTGGCGCTACAGCCCCAATTTGGGCCTAGGCCTACCTCCATGAAACTCTCCGTTTCACTTCGGTTTACTAGATCTTAAACATTCGGTAGGACTCCTTGGGCGAGTGATCAGCTCGTCGCAAGGCCTCTACATGTAGACAAACACAGAAAAACGCACACAAACATCCATGCCCTGAGTGGGATTCGAACCCACGATCCCGGCTTCCGAGCGAGCGAAGACAGTGCATGCCTTAGACCGCTCGGCTACAATGACCGGCGAAATATGTACGTATACATGTATATATATACATTTATATGTACTTATACTCGTACATAATGAAAATGGATCTTAAATAAATCGGATGGGAGGGTGTAGACTGGATTCATCTGGCTCAGGATAGGGACCAGTGGTGGACTTTTGTGAACCCGGTAACGGATCTTCGGATTCCACAAAATGAATATTTTAACATAATGCGAAAGGAGGATAATATCGGTCTATAAATTTAGAGCACTCAGACACGACAACACTAACCGGGCCAGCCTCCCTCTTCTCGGATCGCTAGAGAAAACAACAATGGATGCCAAATGCCCCAGGGAAGAGGCGGCGAATTTCAGGTTTCAAATTGCTAATCATTTACACACGAAAACACGTTCTACAAGATGTAGCTACACCGTCCTCACCCGTCCTGCACACCTCCCTTGACACGTCGCTCTTGAGCCGGTTAATAGCTATTAATTAACATCGATAAGACATTCAATTGGGGCCATCATTCTGTCTTAAGTATAGGCAAGTCAACGAGGCCCCGAGTTATGGATGATATTATGAGTGATTAATATGACTTGAATGCTTGGGTATCGGTTTTTCTTATTATTTTCTTGAAACCTATCATCTGCGTGTGTTTGGAAATGTTGCTACGGGCCGTTTTAATAGAACTTCATGCACAGCTGCGTCAAAGGCCCGGGGGAGGGGGCTGAGATGTGACTACAGCACCGGACATAATTTATGAAATACACTTGAACTTCGACTGCTATTTCACGTGCCTTCGTCAAGGTAGTGGATAAGTTACAGGGATTTCCTCCTCATCGAATATACCGCATTTTCCTAACGACCGATTTTAATAATAGAATTCTATAAAATTTAATAATAGAATTCTATAAAATAAAGAATTTATCAGGCGATTCGCTGTTTCTCAAGATGGACTCTATTTCCTGGATTAATGACATGACAATAATCATCATCATGAGAAAAAGAACTAGCTCAAGAAATGTTGCTGATGTGACCGCCTGCAACTGACACCTGTCACAACCCACATGGCAAGATGTTTCGAGAGTGGCTTGTGATTACCGTAATGCTGTATGCAGGAGTGCTGCTTGGCTAAATACATACTGATATATTGTTCGTCAATTTCTTGTAGAAATCAGAGGAAATAATTCAATTCCTTTATTTAAATGGTTGCCGACAGCGAGTGGTCTGTAACAGGCGATCGCTGAAAGGGTACATAACAAAAGCTAGACTAAGTGTAGAACTAGACTGAAATTTAACACGGGACAATGAAATAACACAGGTAACACGATAAGGACGTAATTAAGGAGGACTGAGCAAAGGAAAATGTTATGTTTATTGGAAACATCCAGAGATTTGCAGATGTTGCTTGCAGCCGTGAAGCGCCTTGTTGAAGGGCTGAGTCTTGAGACATTATTGAAGTTAAAGGTGGAAAAATCTCTAATTTGTTTAGGCGTACAAGAAGACCAACAGTGTCCACAACAGAACAACAGTCCATTTTGTGCCTGGGAAAGTTAATAAGAAACAAAGCGTCAAGCTTCTGTCGCCTGAAATGAAGCTTTCTAAGCCGTCAATTATTCAGCATGCCCGTCACGGTAGCCGAGCGGTCTAAGGCATGCACTGTCTTCGCTCGCTCGGAAGCCGGGATCGTGGGTTCGAATCCCACTCAGGGCATGGATGTTTTTGTGCGTTTTTCTGTTTGTCTACAGGTAGAGGCCTTGCGACGAGCTGAACACTCGCCCAAGGAGTCCTACCCTATGTGTAAGATCTAGTAAACCGAAGTGAAACGGAGAGTTTCATGGAGGTAGGCCTAGGCCCAAATTGGGGCTGTAGCGCCACAGAAAAAAAAATTATACAGCATTGATTCATAATTACAAAAAGGACCTGAGCTGAATAGATTGATTATAGCATAAATTTGGAAAATATGTTTAATAATAATAATAATAATAATAATCATTGAGACAGTGGAGCGCTTAAGAGCGAGATGTCCGGTTCCAGCCAATGAACTGTGGGCTACATATGACGTCAAGGCAGGTTCTCAACTCAGTTACATTTTGGTACCAAAAAACAGACGGAAACAAAAGTGGGGAGGAAGAATTGGTACGGACGCGTAACAAAACAATAGAGAATCAATTGGAATTACTGGCTTTTTGGACTTGCTCCATCGTCAGGTATTCTAAACAACATCATGTTTCGGATAATTAATCTGTTTCGATCCTCATGTGAAGGGGGAGACACCTGCTCTATCAGGTGTGTTAGAGCTAACCTCAATCATTCGACAACATACGTCACTATATATTTTTTTATTGCTAGTGGGGTGGGACTAAGTCCATTGTGCTGCGGCCACTTCTGGCCTATTGTACCAGCCCCAGATGATAGGTGAGGGTGACTGTGGAGCAATTGGTGGAATGAAGATTGGCAGGGGAAACCGAAGTACTCGGAGAAAACCTGCCACAGCGCCACTTTGTCTACCACAAATACCACTTGACCAGACCCGGGATCGAACCCGGGCCGCCGCGGTGGGAATCCAGCGACTAACCGCTTGAGCTATGGCGCGACCTACGTCACTATAACTACAGATATATAAAAACCCGATATCACGGTTCGCCAACGGAAGATAACAAGATGATGTGCAGCAAAACGTGTCATAATGCATGTATAGGCCTGGAACTAAGAGAAACCCAGCAATCCATAGTGATATACACACCCTCGTCACAACCTTTAAGAATACACTTAGATCATAACATTCAACCGTGCTCTGTAACAAACCTGTTTATCACTCAGAATTACTGGGATTTTGGACTTCGTCCATCGTCCGGTATTCTAGAATCCAGAAAACACAACGTTTCTGAAACTTGAACTGTTTCTGTCCTCAGGTGAGGGGGGAAGACACCTACTCAGTTGGGTCTTTAGATAGAACTAACCTCAATCAGTGGACAGCCCCCGTCATATTCATTACAGCTACTTAATGAATGAGGCCAGGCTGATTCGGTGGGAGATAAAGGACCAAACAGAGTAGGTCTTCCCCTCTCACCTGAGGACGGAAACAGAACCAGTTTCCGAAACGCTGTGTTTTCTAGTTTCTAGAATACTGGACGATGGTCGAAGTCGAAAAACCCAGTAATTCTGTATGTTATACACCATCGTCAGAACCTCTTACAATCTGTTTATCACTCTTTGAGGGAGAAAAGGAACACGTTTGCTCATTGACATTTCTGTGCTGACAGAAACATACTGAAGAAATGCGCTGAAATACGAATATCTGGTGAATGAAGCATAACACATGTACAATGTTGAAGTAACGTGCAATGGAAATGTATCGTAATCATTCCAGCACTGTTCAGAAGACGTCCGTAGTAAACACTGGAGTGCAGAATTGCAGACGATGGCCATTCTGGGAGCAACAGACGTCTCGAGGCAGATAGTGACGCAGTACGCCGCTTAATTTCAAACATACGGAGCTACTACGTCACCGGTCTTTTCGAGACACTGCTTGACCCTGGCTCGTGGATAAGATAGTCTATATTTTAACTCCGTGATTTTAGTCCGCAAGCGAAATATATCTACCGAGCGACCGCCGCTTGTCAGCGAAGTTAGCGTCAATTTTAGCGTATAGAGGATGTCGCGTGGTCAGCGCAACGAATCCCTACGGCCGTTAATTTCGGTTTTCTAGACCGGAGCCGCTATTTCGTTGAAATAGCTTCCAGATTATCATCACGAGGCTGAGTGGATCCCGTTCCAGACACAATACTTCTCAGAAAATTTGGTAGCGCCGGGAATCGAACCCGGACATATGGATCTGTAGCCAGGTACTCTGATCACTAGACCACAGAGGCGGTCAGGATAGTCTATATACGTGGCGAAAACGTAGTAATATTAACTAACTTCATGCAGCCGAGCCCTTCCTGAGAAGCCGCCATTCGCTCAGCTACTCAAAAATTTCCTAATATTTTAGGGAACTCGAAGGTTCACTATCGTATTCACAACAACTCTCTAATGGTCCCTATCATGAGCCAGATCAACCCAGTCCATATCACCCCATTCTATCTCTTCAGATCCATCCTAATATTATCCTCCCACCTCTAAGTCTTCCTCGTGGTCTCTTCCCTTCTGGCTTTCCCACCAAAATCCTGTATGCATTCCTCTTTCTTCCATTCGAATTAGTAGTAGTAGTAGCAAAGATAAAGCTGTCCTTGTGCTTAATGGGAGAGTGGATGTATAGGTCCACATTTTCTTGACCTCGGCACTAGTTACAGGTGAGTGGTCAGCTTCACGCCCCGATCGCTTTACCCCCGTGTACCCATTGGGTAGGAGACTGGGTGGGCCGCAGAACCGGTCTGGACG